AATTTAACGAATGAAAAAACCTAAAATCAAGCGACTTTGTCATTAATTCCTAGCGATATCTTAAATCTTTAGAATTTCGTCTGAAGTTTGAAAATTGGGGATAGATTTGTTCATTTATTAAAATACAATTTACTAGAATTTATCTTTTCCATGACTCAATAACAACAACAACTGGAAACGTGTTCTTGAAATAACAACAATATGTCTAATTCAAGAAGATGCCTTACAGGGCTTGAATAATATGTTCACGAAACAATTTCCATGCGCTGAAGTTGCTGTCAGTACCAGACACTAAACTCCAGAAAGTTAATCCCCGGTACCGAGTGTCCAAATAAACACGCGATGTACATTTATGATCTCCACTATACCCCACTTTGAGCCTCAAATGCGGTAATTAATGCTTGGGACTTGAGTAAATCACGGGAGATTAGATTTCCATGCGGAATTTTGCTTTCATGTCTTGATGAAGATTTAATGGTATTCTGGAAGGAAGTCTTCAAAGCGAGGGAAAACTTCATTTCTCACTTGATAAAATTCGACAAACCACTGTGGAACGAAATTCACTACATCGAGAATTATAAAACATATCAAGTTCAAATTAACTGAATTTTCCAGAAAAATCATTTGCCATTTTTATTCAGATTCATGATCGTGAAAAAGTTGGATGAGTTTTCTCCACTGGGTGATGAATCTTTCATGCCCTCACCTACCTCATCCGCGAAAAATAGTAATAATCCCACAGGTTTTCCTACATGGAGAGAAAAGTACCGGAAAGATTCTGAAATATTATTTGAAAAAGGAAAAAAATTGTAGCTACACGTGGGAAATTTCAAATAAATAAAACTGCGTTAATTGTTTTAATAAAGCACAAGAAAAATTCTAGTTCCTGTGTGTACAAAATTTGATGGATAGGAAATTGTTTAAGAATTATGGCTGAAATTTCCGGTAAAATTGATTGAAATTTCTGTCCCATTATAGTTCTACTGAAATTTCAAAGAATTTTGCAATTGAGAATTCAGAATTTTATGGAAAAATCTATGGAAGCTGTAAATATCTATTCAATTATTCCGTCGAAATAATAGGTGGATGCGGCAAAATTGGCACGTTTGATTTTTTTTTGAATGTTTGAACTCTGAGACAATTTTCTCTCGAGATAATTTTCATCAAAACATTTCCCCCGGAAAATTCCGGAACCTGCACTGAGAGAAAAATTTAGTTCTGCCGAAGAATTACGTTTCCCTGAAAAGATCTTTTGCCGTGTTGAATAAATTTACTTGTAAATAAACACGAAAATTTCCACCAAAACACAGGCAGGTATTAAATGTCAAGTAAATCTGTTCCACTCCATCAAATATTCTCACGTGAAAAATCTAATTTTTTTTCCAGTGTGTCTCTCCATTCCCAAAATAACAAATCACCCCAACAAGACACCAAGAGTCGCCCAACCAAAACCTCCAAGGATTCACTGAATGCATTGCAAACTGCACGATGAAATTTGTAGAAATGAACTTCCAAAGTAACTGGAGCGAAATAAAACTCGAGCCGCCAGAAATTCTCGTGCCAAGTGAGCGAGTCAACTTGCCTCCTAGTGTTCAATGCAAAGTAGCACGAAAAGTGCTATCCATAGGATCAAAGTATACATAATTTTCTCCCCCCCCCCCCACCATCCACCTAAAAAATTCAATAGTCTTAAACACCCCACCCACAACAAACTCCGGAAGTTCCCCCAACTGCCTCCGTCTGCCTCCAGCTCGTAAAAATATCAAGGGAATGAATAACACAAATAACAAAAACAAGTACTAATTATACAAACAGTATTGCATCTTTTATTTCTCGGTGTACTCCATTTGTTTATACTGGCTGAGAGAAAACTGTATAGACATGAAATAAGTAAAAAACACGAACATCAGAATATGCCAGCCAATGAATAAATTCCACCAACGTTAGCCTCTCATCACACCGTATCCGAGTGCATTCACTTGTGTCAAACAAATTAATTGTCAAGTCCACCAATCGCCCAATTCATCACATCTTACAATAATAATTCGGGCCACGATCGAAGTCACACCTGAATTCGCTCGTGGTCCACAATTTCCACAATTCTCCGAACAATAATTCATCGATTCGCATCAATGCATTCACCACTCACTCAATGTCTTAATTAAATATCAATTTAATTTGATACAGTGTCATCATCAATGTCAAGGTAAACCTCCTCTCGCCTAACGTCATTTCCCTAAAATCCACATTGCACACTGTGACACTCGAAACCCCTGTCTCATCTCGTATAGCAACTCGTGGGGCCCCTCCCTTGTTAACCACTAATTTTCAAGATAATTATACTTGCAAAGTGTCATGCACAAGGGCGAATATACAAGTTACCGCTTGTGGCGAAGAGACGGTGTAAGGAGGCGGAGGGAGAGGAATCAACAGAACAGGGATACATTTCCATGTGCCGTACTCGGCGCTTTATCGATGTCTCGCCCGTCCGCTACAGGTTATAACATTTGCAATTATCCAGTGTACCAAATATGGTGTTGATATTCCGGTGTGATTCGAGGATTGAAACCCGTTGGTGTTGCCAGTGTGAGACAGAGGGCGAGTGTGCATCATTCGCGGTGGGGAGGGGGTGGGGGAGGGGTAGACTTTATGTTTCGCCGAGGAGACTGGAGTGGCCGAACGATCACGTCGCGAAACGCGAGGACCCGCAGACGGGGATCGATGCAAGCTTTCATCCTCAATTTCAGAAATCGATGAAAATGAAAATGAAGCGAAAGTGAGTTATTTTAACGCGGTGGGTATCGCACTGATGAAAATTTTTAATTAAAATTTTTATTCCAATCTAGTACCACTGGAATTTCAAAGAATTTCATAGGTAAAATTGAGAGTGATATAGGAAAGTAGACTCTATAAAAATTGTCGCCTGAATTTTCCGTGCTAAATCCCGGAATTTTTATTATGTTATTTTTTCTATGAAAGTTCAGAAAAGCTTGTCGTTGAAAAATCATACATTCCACTGATTTTCTGTTCGAATGATCTGAAACATCACTGAAATACTCTGGAGAATTCAGGGAAAAATTGATAATTCATGTCATTGTTTCTGAATATTCATGCTCCATTGAAAATTCAATCAAGTTGAGAAATTTCAGTCATCTTTCCCCTAAATCGTAGTCAATGTTACTCTCATGAGAATTACTACCATATGAGTGTAAATGAAAATAGTAAATTTTAGTTCAATTATTCTATGAAAGTTAATAGAAAAAAGGAAAATTCAGGTAAAGATATTCTTGAGTTTGTAATTAATTGAAAATTCAAGTAAATGGTAGAATTTTCGTCTTTCTGCAGTTCAAAAATTCGGAATTCCATTGAATTTTCAGTGCATTCGAGTATTTCGTGATTTTCCCCTGCCAGTCAATTTAACAGTCCATGAGATTTCAAATTTTTTCAACAAAATTTCCATGCGTATTATTATTAAAGAATCAGTTAATTTCTGAAATATTCAATGATCTTGTACCATGAAAAACTCAATCCTGTTGATTTCCTTGATGAATAAAAAATCCCCTGGACAATTTAATTTAATTGCACAAGCTGTTCTTACTTATGAATAAAATAAAAATTCCAACAGTGTAATAAATAGCATTGATCGATCCACGTCGTCAGCATCCGTTCTTCCGCCTTTGAATTCCCTCAACACTCGGTCTATTTTTCCCGCCGGACACTCGACTCGTATCGCTATCACAGTACATTTATTGATTGGTTTTCACGACGATCCGGTTGATCAACATGAGCGGTCGAACGAGTGATCGCCCTCAACAGGCAAACGTCACCAGAATCTTACTTCGTCACACGAGTTAACGTACCACCGGGCCACACTAGTTTCCACAGATCGAGATGAATTAATAAACGAAAAAAGCAACACGGAGACAAGACTTCAGTCCAAAAATACGTGACTATTCAGGTGATCATGTTACCCAGGATTTTCCCTGAAATTTCAAGGAATTTCGTAATTCAAAATTCCGAGTTTCACGGAAAACTCGATGAAAACTGTACATTCAGTTCAATTATTCCATGAAAATTGATAGAAATCGGGAGAATCTGAGTAAACATATATTTGAATTTCCAATTAATTGAAAATTCATCGTATTTTGGCCCTGAATATTCACGTTTTGATTGAAAATCCGAGTAATCTGAGGAGTTCTCGTCTCCTTGCAGCTGAAAAATCCAGAATTTCGCTGAATTTTCAGCGAAATTTCATGATTTTTCCCCCTCAATTGAATTCAACTTCACTCTTCTAAAAAATAATAGTCAACTGTCCATGAAATTTCAATTTTTCACCAACAGTGTTCCATTTGTACCCTCCACTAGTTTCGCAATTATTCTCCCCCACGAGGAAATAAAATTGTAATGAATGGAGAATAAAGAATAAAACGTTCACCAGACGGAGGAGTTATTTGACACTTATTGGTTGAGTCTGAGCGATCAAGCGGAAAAGAAGTCGCCTGTGGGGTGTATTTTTTTTATTACTCCAGTATACACGCACACCCAAGGCACGTGAGTATAATCTTTCTCACTTTAGCGAACCGTCGTCATCGGGGCCCAACAGAGGAATGATTAATCATCGGTTTGAGGGACGCCCATGTGGCCAGGGCGTGTGCGTATGTGTGAGATGAGAGAAAAAAAAAGGAATTCCACCGCAACTCAACAACGAGACTTTCCTCCCGTTTTTTCTGCGTCCCAAATGCCTATTGGCATTTTCCGGGCAAAAGGAAAACAAAGACGAGGGCGAGAGCACGGGAAACGAATAAAAAAATGGCCGATTCACCCTCTGACGACTTCAATCCAGCTTCTCCATCACACAAACCACTCGTACCCTCGTGTGCAATCCCTCCTCTCTCTCACTCTCTCTCTCTCTCTCTCTCTCTCTCTCTCTCTCTCTCT